GGTAGCCCATGGCAACCCACTGCCACAGGGGCTGCAGCCTACGCCGTCGCAGGCGACTCACGGCAGCCCAGCTCCAGGTTGAGCTGTTGTTTAGCATCTTAGCTGTAGAGGGCAGTGTCACTGGTCCTCATGTGGGATCCAAACCGGGGCCCTCTGGCATCCCAAGCCAGCTCTTAACCATCGCGCCACTCGTCCGGCCCATATTTTACAATTTCTTGTTGAAGATGCAGTTTCCAATTTTTCACAACTGTAGGTCAGTGAATATCTTTATAGGCAGATCCTTTTCTTTGAGTAGTCCTCAGGAAAAGGAAAAAGAAATTCTTTGGTCAAAGCTATGATGAATTTTATGGCTATTGATATTTATTGCTAATTTTATTTATGAAATGAATGTATGAATTTACAGTGTCATCAGCTTTCAATGAATATTTTTATTTCCTTGTAGTCTCATCTGCATTGAAATTTTTTTACTTTTAAAATTGTTTCAAATTTAATATAATATTGATGGCATCGAATTATTTTAATTTTTATTTGCTTGATTGCTGAAAACATGTATTATTGTCACTGTAACATTTTTTTTCCATATTTCCTTTTGGGTAAATGGTGTGTTTTCTTCCCTCTTCATCTAGAAGTCGTCATAGTGATGTTCTCACCACTAAGAATGGCTGCTCTAAATTGAACTTTTACTATGTGTCAAGTACTTCAGAAACATCTCAATAGTCACAATATTCTGTTGACATGAATATTCCTTATTTTACAGTGGAGAAACCTAAGGCTCAGAGAGGTTCAATTGTTTTCTCCAGATCACATAGGCAGAAAATGAAATTGCAGGGCTGGGATTTGAACTGTTTGGCTTTACCCCTAAGTCTGCCCTCTCTTTCACAGTATACGTTTTGTGTATATTATTATTAACCTTTGGCCATATTTGTTGCAGATATTTTCCCCATTCTACTGGTATTTTAATTTTAGTATTCGTTGTCCATGAAAGCTAATCATTATATAGTCAAATTTGTGGATCTTTTATAATATCTTCTGTAGCCTATTTTTGTTATTTTTTCTGCAAATTTGTTCAATATTTTGGTATAAATTGTGCATCTCTTTTTTTTTTCCATAGGTTATCTAATTAAGTCAATATCAATCTATTAGATAATACTTTTTGGTTTGGACATTATTTTATCACAGGTTAAAGATCTAATCTATATAATGCCTTTAGATTATTTTGAATCACTGAGCCTTTCTCCTGTCCCCTCTTATCTCTTTTATTGATTTGCCCTTTAGGCAAAAGATTCTAAAAAGTACCGAGGAGCAAGAGTTGGAGAAGAGCATGAAGATGCAGCAGGAGGTGATGGAGATGCGGAAAAAGAATGAAGAATTCAAGAAACTCGCTCTTGCAGGAGCAGGTCAGCTTGGGTCTGCTTGAATCTGATTTATAAGGGGTGCCTATCATAATCTTGGTAGGGTTTTTTGGAGTCTAAAGCAAAAATTTCAGGCTTTCTCGGCCAGTAGTTGGCATAAAAAGATGTGCTTATTTAGAAGGCTGGACATGGGTACCATTTATATCCCAAAGATCATTCCCTAGAACATTTTCTATACATTGGCTCTTTCTTAGAGCATGCTGTTGCTCTGTCTCTGACTATAGAAGTTACAGCCATCTTTCAAGGCCTTTTTCCATGAGGCCTTCCCTCATTTCTTCAAGTAAAATTAATTGCTCCCTTGTTTTTTCCTCCTAATTCTTTTTCTTTGTTTTAGAAAAAGGAGGGACTAGGATTAAGACAGAAGGTAAAGCAGCTGGGCAGGGCAGTTTTTTGTTGTTTTCCTATTTTACCCTAGGCAGAAGGAAAGAAAGCTGAGTGAATCCGGTTGTAGCTATAGAGGAAAAGTATGACTGAGGGAGCTGAAGGGATCAGAGTTCCTCTTTGCTGTGGTATGGAGTTATTAGTGGAGTCAAAGCTATACAGCCCTGTTGACTGGGTTGAAAACAGCACCCCTGGAGTTTATAGGGGTTCCAGATGGTTAGTTAAGTGTGCTTTTTAAGTCAATTCAGAGCTTTGCCTATCAAAAGTGAAAAACATAGACAAATACGTCATGACTTTTCCGACAACCCAATAGTTACTCTGTGTCTCCAGAGCTACGACTGGGAGATGGGATTTCCCCCCCTGTGCTACCTCTATAGTTTGCGTCTGACTGAAGGGCTTTAAACCCAACAGGCCTCAATGAATAAGGCACATATATTAGTGGTGTCCTTGAGGACTGTTTCAAATTTTGGGTTATATGTAGAGAGTGAACAAAGTTAGATCCATGGTAATAGAAGCATCGAAAAAACTGGATAAAAAGGGGTTTACTACTGGTCTATATTCTTAGTGTTACCTGTGTGTTTCACTCTGCTCCTCACTTAGGGCAACCTGTGAAGAAATTGGTGAGCCAGGTTACCAAATCAGTTGACTTCCACTTCCGCACAGATGAGCGAATCAAACAACATCCTAAGAGCCAGGAGGAGTATAAGGCAGTGAACTTCACATCTGAACTACGAAAGCATCCTCCATCTCCTGTAAGTTGATGGATTAAATGAATATTCCTGTTACCAATTCAGTGAGGATTTCGGATATAGCATTTGTGGTCACTACTTAATATAATTGAGTTAAGATAGAGCTGAATCCTCGCTTTGCCCTGTTAGCTGCGTGATAAATCACTCTGTCCCTCTGGGAACCATTTTACCAAGTTGCTATGGAAACTGAATTGAGAATATACATAAAACACACAGAATTATGTGTGACAAATTGTAAGCACAGGCTTGTTACAGCTTGTGCTGTTACAAAATTCTTGAAAAAAATCTTGTGTCTGCAAAGTTGTGTACAAAATATAACAGGGTTTATGGGAAAAATGGGGTTGGGGCAGACCACTTGAATCCTCTGCAGTTTTGTTACCAGAGCACTAACAAAAATAGTAACAATCCCTAATAAAAATTCTAGTGCTAAGAATCTCTACTTGCAATATTAGTCATCATCATTTGTTGAAATCAGTCCTTTTCCGTCTTAAACCTTGGGCCTTCCTTCTTTCTTTGAGATGTAGGTTCTGTAAAAGTTTTGCTTCTAAGCAGAGACTAGTTTTATGAAAATTGATCCAAGGAGTAGGCTTCTTCATCAATCAGTTTTGGGGAGGATGTGTGAAAAAAGGTTCAGGCAGCTCCCTGACCTGATCAAGACCCAGAAGCCCAATCAATTTTTTTGTTTTAAGAGTGACCATATAATTTATTGTACAAGCTGGGACACTTCCAAGAGTGAAATGAGTCAATATTACTGATTATATGGGGACAATAGACGTAAACCGGGACTGTCCTGAGCAAATTGGGACTAATGGTCACCCTACTTGTAAGTCATGTTCAGGTGCTTGGGCCTCCAGTGAAAGCATAGATTGGATACCTTGTCTTTCTATCTTACACACTTTGCCTGCGTGACTTCATCCATACCTTTGCCGTTACTTGCTCATTTCACACATACATACCCAGGATGCACTCTGGGCACCAGCCCTCAAGATTGACATGAGAGTGGACCACCACATGCTCTCATCACTGTGCCTCAGTCTGGGCCCCTGAAGCCCAAAGAGGGGATGGTTCTTTCCGAAGAAGATAATTACGACGTCCCAGAACTATCTGAATAAATGCATCTTGTTTACCCTTAAACCATTTGGTCTGGTTAATCCATGAGCACTCCAAAACCAGAGCCCAGAGGCGGCCACTGCTCACCATCTTTGGGCCCAGCCCCTTAGCCTAGTTTCCTTTGCTCAGGGGAAAAGCGGTTACTGGTCAGACTCAAAGTCAGGCAAGCTGCTCACAGGCATCCTCCCAGGCCTCTGCCAGACGACGGTGGGCACGTGGCAAGGCTGCAGTGGGGGCTGAGGGGGCGGTGCTGGCAGCGGGGCTGGGGTGCCTTTCAGCTTTTTTTCCTTCTAATAAGAAAACTGGCTCTTGATTGCTTCAAAACGTTAACATGCTTGTGAAAAATCACCTTATGTACTGTTGTAGGACAATTTGCTAAGTGCTAGATCCTGTCTTCCTTTTTTAAAAAATAAAAAGTTGGAATAGACTTGTTATAACCAGTGCTCAAGGACTGGCAGACTTAAGAATACTAATCTTGGTTTTCCATGGACCTTTTTTCTTGTGATCCTCGGTGCTGAATATGTGCCTTGTGGTCGAGCTGAGCTTCCATGACATTTCATTTGGGAAACAACTTCTTTCTTTACAGGCCCGAGTGTCTAAGGGATGCACCATTGTAAAGCCTTTCAACCTGTCCCAAGGAAAGAAAAGAACATTTGATGAAACAGCTTGTCAGTATGTGCCCTTTGCACAGCAGGTCGAAGCCTTCTATAAACGAACCCCTAACAGATACCACTTGAGGAGCAAGAAGGATGACATTAGTAAGTTTTTTACTGATATCATAGCTGGCTGGAACCTTCCCTAGAATTCCCTTTGCTTAGATCTGAGGCATACGTGTGCCTTTAGTTGAAAGCCTAGCTTTTGAACTAAAGTATGGCATGTGCCTATTGCAGACTCCTACTGTATTGTTGACCATTTCTCAGTCCACCCAGCCATCTGTCCACTTCAGCCCAGCAGCCACTTCCTGGTTAATGAATGGCCAAGGGGAATCAGGGTTCCCTGCTGTGTCATTGCACGTCAAGGATATCTTTGCCATGTATCACTGTGTCGTAGTGCATTTACTTACCTATAGAAAATGAAGGCATTCCATTCATTCAAGGTTGTGTGCTTTTCGTTCAGTGATTCAACAAGCTTTTTACTGGTACAAACCAGGCCTTTTGTGGGGTGTAGGGAGTATAGAAGTGAACAAAATGGAATTGGTGCTACTAAACATCAAGTTTCTAATTCAGTGAGGGACATAAACAGACAGATCATTACAAATTATGGTAAGTGCTATGAATGTGAGGGAGATGTCAGAGTCAAAGGAGGTGGGAGGGAGGTAGAGCGTGTCTGCATGCTGAGAAGTCCCTGGAAGAGAAAGAAAGATACAGGAGAGAAAGGAGATAACCAATGGTTAGGTCCCTGCATGGGCAGGTAGGGGATTGACACGTAGCACAGGTGGAGTGATGGTTCTTTGAAAGGAGGCGGTGAACAGATTTGGTGGTGAACAGATGAGAGGGTTGTAATCTAATAGCGTCTACTTTTATGAACATAATTACTACAAGAAGGAAGCAAAGAAGTTTGAGAAATGGAAATGGTATAAAATACTTTCCGAATATCAGGCTAGCACTCTGGATAAAGCAGAATCTGGTCATTTTGCCTTTGAAGGTATCAGTTTTTTCTACCCTTGCGTAGGCATTGTTTAGTGCTTTGTTAGGTAGCCAGACAAGTTCTAAGTACAGCATTTTTTAACACTGTTATTATACATTAGTCAAATTTTATATTATGAAAATAAAAAAAAAATTTTATCCTAATGGAAATTTAAATATTAAACATGACTTTTCAAGTAATATATGACTTCTGGAGTCTGATATGCCCTGCTCTTAGAATCTAAGTCCTGGCAAATAGGAGTAAAAAATATTTTCTATAATTTTTATTTATAACTTTTTACAGTTATAGCTAAATAATGATTATATGTATACTTGAAACCTGGCTTATTTCTGAAATAGACTTGGTTTCTATCTTCTGATCTTATGTGATAAGATCTAAATTAGAGGACTCATTCTATATAATTATGAAAATTTACAAGGTTGTCCCTAGCCTTGTAAATCAATATTCCCTGTGAGTGGTAACGATGGTCTTAATATTGATGCATTGGCAGTTTTTTTACTTTCTTCATTTGACTTTCTGAGAGGTGATCTTGATACTATGATATAGATACTTTTAAAAAGTTTATAAAATTAGGAATTGTTATTTGCTCTTTAGAAAGTTCTTATTTTTAAAGCTGGAATAAGCAAAGATCTTATATGTCAATAACAAGCAAAATAGTTGGCATTTTCAATAGAAAGGCAGTACAGGCCTGTGCAGTCAATGACAAGGAATTCACCAGACACAAGTGGTTTTTAAGTTCAGAAGATGATAGTAGAGTTTACCCAAAGGCTCCTTTCATTATACCCCTCAATAAAGAGTGATAGGGAAGAAGGGACTGAATATTTGTCAAGTTGACCGATGTGAGCTGAGCGTGGAAGGCCAGCCACTCTGGTTGGGCATCTCTGGGCTGCTATGCTGAGTCAGCACCTGCAGGTAAACATGGTCTTGGGAGCTAGGTGAATATCTGTGATCTCCGTTTACAGCTCTGTTACCCTCCAAATCTGCTGTGGGCAAGATTTCCAGAGACCCACAGACTCCTGTTCTGCAAACCAAAAAGCGCGCAAGACCTGTAACCTGCAAAAGCACCGCGGAACAGGAGGCCGAGGAGCTCGAGAAACTGCAACAGTAAGTTCCACTGGCTGTGTCTGAGGAAGAGTTCCAAGAACCTGCCAACTTGCTTTTCAGTTCTATAAGGGGACAGTTGCTATTTTTCTTGCCATGAGAATTTATGGCATTTGAGTTCCTGGCTCTGTAGGCTGTGCCCCTGTCTCTATGATTAAAGGGTTGAAAGTGGGACTATGGAGATGTCCTGGAGTGTAAACTGGTAAAAACCTGTAATGCAGAGGTTGGGGTGGGAGAACTTAGGATTCCAATGAAGGAGTGTGCTCTGAGGTCAGTCTGGGTAGATCCCACCCTTTCTTTCATGGCCATCCAAGGGACTGTTCAGTGGAGGAAACTGGAACTTAATGTGGGTAGCACTGGAGGTTGTCTCCTGTATCCTCCCTCTATTGCTTTTATACTTCTTTTGAGAAGGGGGAGCTTCCTCTGTGAAGAGAAATCCCAATATTTAGAGTGGTGGGAATGTTAGGACTTTGTCATTTATTCATGGCTGTGGAGATAATGGCTATGGAGAGAGTGGAGATTTTGCTGTGCGTGATGGCCAATCTTAATGATTATTATTTTTCTGTTTTTGGCCTACTTTTTTGTTTGTGTAGCTTTCATTTTATTAAACTTTTTTTGTGTGTGTGTGGTTGTCATTTAAACTCACCTTATAGATACAAATTCAAAGCTCGGGAACTTGATCCCCGGATTCTTGAAGGTGGACCCATCTTGCCCAAGAAACCACCTGTGAAGCCACCCACTCAGCCTGTTGGCTTTGATTTGGAAATCGAGAAAAGAATCCAGGAGCGTGAATCAAAGAAGAAATCAGAGGATGAACACTTTGAATTTCATTCCAGACCTTGCCCGACTAAGATCTTGGAAGATGTTGTGGTAAGAATGGTTGAGGCTTGGTATGCTGGCAGAACTGTCCTGCTGTGACCACATATCCACCCATTTACACATGTTTGAGTAGATACTGTGATCCAAACATCATATTAGGAGCTGTAGGTGATAAAAGAAATATATCAGAGGTGAATTTTGGACACTTACAGTTCAGTAAGGGAAATAACGTGTAAATAATGTAAAATGAGACAGAAATGTTCTAAGAGAGACGACAGTTAAAAGTACTATAGGAATTCAAAGGGGATAACGATTTCTTCCAGATGGAAGGCTCAGGGAATGCTTTGTGCAGAAGGAAGCATTTGACCTGAGCCTTCATGCTGTGTAGTAGTACTTGTCCTGGTTGTCATCATATCATTGTCACTGTCGTAATAGTTGATGCTTTCACTATGTGCCCGGCACTACTCTAAGCCCTTTTCGTACATTAAGCCATTGGTTGTTTTTTTTTTGTTTTTTTTAAAGATTTTTTTTTTTT